AGTTGGAATGAGAGAGAGACAAAAAAAAGGTTTGTCTTCTCTTAGTCTTAGCAAAGAGATGGATCTTTTTAGAAAGATAGATCAATTTTTCCTATTGTATGAGATTTGTTCTTTTAATTGCATATTCCTTAGTTTAATTTTTCTCTTAGTCTTAGCAAAGGGACGATCTTCTTAGAAAGATAAATCAATTTTTCTTGTTGTACGACATTTGTTCTTTTAATTGCATATTCCTTAGTTTAATTTTAATTGCCTTATATTTTTAGGAGCATGGTACCATTAACAGTTAGAGACAGCAATAAGAGATAAGCCATATTGTATAACACATTCTTGGTCTTCTCTGGATGTTGTGCAATGCATAAAGCTTGGTGGATCTGTATTTGTACTGCTAGTCGTTTGTTCATGAAACAAGCTGCACAAATTCTAAGAGTAAGGGCGTCTCCAATGTTGCTTATCACCAAGCTACCGGTACTAGTCGCCCTCGTTGCCGTCTAATCAACCCGGCAACGTCTTTGCCGAGTTAAACTCGGTGAATTGGACTTGGCTGGACATGGTCGGCAATCATTAAGTTCGCCAAGTCCTTTCTATCAGGAACTCGGTGAATATTTAAATAATCTTTGTCGGGTTTTGACCGTCCGAGTCGGCATAGTAACGTCTCTTTGCACAAGCGAAAGGCGGTAGGAAAGATGTGGAGAGGGCACTCGGAGTGCTCCAAATTTGTTGGGGTTTAATCATCGATCTGCAATAGTGTGGGAAGTGGAGACATTTTGACAGCTCATGACATGTTGTGTAATCTTACACAACATCATTGTAGAGGGTGAGGGCAACGGGGCAGCCACATGCATGATTTTGAGAAGCCCGGAGTTCAGGTTTGCCTCTTGAAACTGGAGCCAGAGCATATTGCCAAATTTTCTTTAGATGCATCGACAACTTCGTGATCAACATGCGCACATGTAAATTCTAATGACCGTGTGAAGCATATGTAAATCCACGCTGGAAATCACCGAACTATGTTGTTTATATTCCAGTTATGCACTATGAACAATTTTTTGTTTGGACTATGTTTACATTATGTGTTTTTATGTACTGTGAATTTGTATTTGTGTGCACTACTCATTGTTTTTGTGTGACGATCGACGTGCATGTATTTGCATGGATTTGATGTTTCAAATTAATGTAGGGTTTGTTATTACAAATGGGTACATTTGAGGGTTGGACCGGTGCTATCGCGTCCACGAATGTATAGTAGTCCAGATTTGCCTAGTGCATTTTGTAGATGCTCTTATCGGGGCAGAATAAAAGGAGGTAGCTAAAAAAATTGAATGGGAAGACTCATACTACTAACTAGATGATACCCTCTGTGTCGCTGTGGAAATCGATCGAAATATATTTTAGTTATATTTGGTTGTATGGAGCATGGGTGTTCTAATTAATAATTCGATTTTGTTGTATGATACATATGATTTCATATTTTCATTATTGAGGTGACCCTTCTTGATGCATGTCTGCATCTTGAAGTGGACCTTTTGTCAGTATGTTTGTATGTTGATGTGACATATTTTTTTAGTTTAAGCCAAAAATACACTGACCTGCCAATCTCTCAGCAATACTTCTAGTGTTTGTTGAAGGTGTGTGTGTCTCTGGTGGATCTTGTGCGATTCGATCGATGTTTGTCTTTCAGTGGATCTGTTTAGATTCAATTTTCGTTCATCTGTGCCCCTATGTTTATAGGTTGGATCCTTCTGATCTACGGTTTTGTCCATCGGCGGCGTGATGCTCTAGTGCGCTGGTTATATGGGGTCTTAAGACGACAACTTCCCGAGTGTATACTACAACAAGATTTGTCCGGCTTCAATGAATGAGGAGCTATGATGGCAATGTGTCTTCAACTAGTTTAAGTGGTTGTGCGGATCTAGACGTATTTTTTTTACTTCTGATACCTTGACAGTTGATAAGAATATCGCAAGTTTTATGAAGAAGAAAAAAGAAGGCGTCGACTAAGAGCATCTTCAGCCGCGCCCCTAACAGCCCCCTCCGCCACCCCCCCGCTATGTGATTTTTTTCACCCCAGCGCCCAAAAATCGGCCCAGTCGCGCCCCC